GGAAAAAAAAAAAAAAAAAAAAAAAAAAAAAAAAAAAAAAAAACAACTAAGTTTGGTCTTTTTAAAGATTCCTATGTTAAAAAAAATTTTTTTTGACTAAAATATTTCTACAATAATCTAGCCAACCTGAAAAATAGTGTTCTCATATATAGTAATAATCCACACTTTACATATTACCTTCTAAAGCTACATTTCATACTAAAAAACCAATAGCTAGGATTTTGTGGGGATACCTACAACCTTTGTAGTATGTCAATTTGGGATTCACAAGCATTCCAAACAATTTTAACAATTTTCCATTAAATAAGTTCTATTAAAAAATTTAAACAATTTTCATAAAAAATGAATAAAAAATTTCAAATGAAGGATGTTTTGACAGAAAGAAACTTTCCTATTGTTAATCAGGAATGTATAACAGAGATTCTAAAAGTTTATGCTGCAAAAAATGCTGAGAAAAATATCAATAGTACTTATTATGAGGGTACTGCAAAAAGTTCACAGAAAGATTTGTATTATATTTTAATTCTATTTTCTATGAACTTTTTGAAGTAACTTCATATATACATAACTAACAGTGATCAATTAAACATAATTTGTTTTTAAAAGATAATTTCAGGAGTAAAACTAAATTCTCCCAAATGTCAACATTCAATTGAAGGATCATCAAATTCTTACATATTACATTTATAGATTTTCTTGAAACATGGCTAAATAAATAGGTAGGGCTTGCATATGGATATAATTAAATTAGAAATATCTCAATGAGACAGTTAATATAAAATATATATTTTTAAATGAATGGAAATGAACCACTTAAAAACAATCAAGTACTAAAAAAACTAGATGTGATAAAAATCAAATCCTATCATTCACACTGTTCTTCTAATTTATACCTTGCTCCAATGTTTTATTTACAGCCTATGAAAAAATGGAGAGAAAAGGACAAAAATGTGGAAAATGAAAAATAAGAGGCAGAGTGGGTTGACATCTGATGAATCATTTTTCACCTCCAGCCAATAGCTGGAATATAGTCCAAAATTGTTAGAATTTTATATTCATTTAACGTCACTTGTAAAAGTCCAGTATCTAACAGGCAGGTATCCACATTGTATCATTTCGGATCAACATAGCAGAGCTAAAATTATCATCTCTTCATCCTTTCTTTCAAGATTAAGAAATAAGTCATTTCAGGGCTGGCTGGTTCGCTCATTTAGTTAGAGCATGGTGTTGATAACACCAAGGTCCAGTGTTCAATCGCTGTTACCTGCCAGCCCTCCCCCCCTCAAAAAAAAAAAAAAAAAAAGAAGTCATTTGTGTGATCCCGTTGCCGGTCCCGGTCCGGTACGGGCGCGACACTGAGGGTTGCGATCCGTTGCTGGTCACAAAAAAAAAAAGACAAAAAGAAAAAAAAAAAAAAAAAAAAAAAAAAGAAGTCATTTGGTTTATTAATATAGCACTGAGTTACTCATCAATGTAAGATTCAAATTTGTGCCCCAGGGAAAAATATCAGAAAGAAACATCCTACCCTTTAATTATAAAAGTGCACCTACTTTTTGTAAATCCTCTTGCAACATAAGGCCTCCTTACAAATAATATTTATTAATTCAGGCTTTTGGGAATATCGTTTTTCTAACTTTTCTTAGTTTAAAATACTTTTAAAACTATCAAATGAAAAATAAATTAAAAGTTTACCCAAATGAGTTGAAAACGTATGTGCTCACAAAAACCTACACATGGATGAGTTTTACTCATAATTGCCAAAACTTGGGAGCAACCAAGGCATCCTTTAGTAGGTGTATGAATAAACTGGTACATCCGGACAATGGAATATTATTCAGTGCTAAAAAGAAATGAGCTATCCAGCCATCAAAAGACATGGAGGAACTTTAAATACATATTACTAAGAGATGCTAATCTGAAAAGGCTACATACAGTATGATTTCAACTATATGACATTCTGGAAAAGGCAAAACTATGGAGACAGTAAAAAGATCACTGGCTATAGGGAGAAAGAGGAATGAATATGCAGAGCAGAAAGGATTTTTATGGCAGTGAAACTATTCTGCATGATACTATTATGATGGATACATGTCATTATATACAAGGGTACTTGAAAAAGTTCCTGGAAAAACAGAATTAAAGTATGAAGCCATGAAATTTTTGAAGTACCCTCATTATTTGTCAAAACCCATGGAATAACACACAGAATGAATTCTAATGTAAACTATGGACTTTGGGTGATAATGGTGTGTCAGTGTAGGTTTACTGCTGGTGTAGGATATTGAAGTGGGGAAAGGGGAATGTAGAAACTCTCTTTATTTTCCCCTCAATTTTGCTCTGAGCCTAAAACCACTCTAAAAAATGAAGTATATTAAAAACATATCTTAAAGGATAGTCAAGTAGAGTAATAAGGTAAGTAATAACCTGTCAGCACACAAACACAACATGACAAAGAAGATGTAATTTTAAAACAAATAAAAATGGAAATACCAAAGAAGACTAAAAATTATCTAGCTCACTCTCATTTTCTAAATGGAAAAGTTCAGACCCAAATGATTTAAATGGCTTTCCTAAGATGACATAATAACAAAAAGAGATAAATTGATAATAAATTATTAGAACATGAGACCTCAATGACTTATCAACATGCCTCTCAATCACTTTTCACAGCTCTGAGTATGACATCAAGAATGTTTTTAGAGACTTCTTTTTTAAGAATAACCATTGATTTGAAAATTAGATTCTGAAAACTTTTATAAAAAAGTGAAAAATATAATGTTCCTTTTTATATTATAAGAATGGCTACATTGTCAAAACCTTAAAATCCTTCCATAATGAATAATATAAAATCTACATGAAAAAATTCCACATAAGGGCCAGCCCCGTGGCTCACTCGGGAGAGTGTGGCGCTGATAGCGCTGAGGCCGCAAGTTCAGATCCTGTATAGGGATGGCCGGTGCGCTCACTGGCTGTGCATGGTGCAGACCACACCATGACGAGAGTTGTGATCCCCTCACTGGTCAGAAAAAAAAAAAAAAAAATCCAAATTAGATTATCTACATGACATGGAGCATCACCAGTTGAGATACTATACAAATAAAATTTAATATAAATTATTTAATAACTTAGAGAAATGTTTATTATATAATCCTAAAGAAAAAACAGGACATAAAGCTATATATAAAGCTTAATCTCAAATATGTTAAAATAATTTTAAATATTTTGAAAAAATTAGAAGGAAATACGACAAAACGTTATCAGTTGTCTCTGAGTGAAAGAACAGTGCTGATTTTTTTCTTTTATACTTCTATTTCCCAAACTTTGTAACATGTCTTTCTTCTATAGTTAGGTGTGTAGAGGATTCTTAAAGGAATCCTGGTTTAGAAAACCACAGGGCCTGGTTTTCTAAAGCCTTGCAGTTCCAAATATTGACCTTGCAAAGGACTGGAAATTTTCCTCAGGCTATAAAGTCTCTGGTGTAAGACAAAGATTTGTAACACAGCAAGGTTGCTGGCTCAAAGACAGACTAGTTACTGACTGATATGTACAGATACTGGAAAATTGCTAGAGGGAGAAGGAATGTTTGCTAAGATCAAGATTTTGTTGATTGGACCACTTAATTGCCTTACTGGAATGTCATCTGGCTTGTTTCACTGGAAGTTACCAGCCTATATTGTTAAACTATAACCCCACCTATGTTCTCTTCCTGTAACTTCCTGGTCTGGAAAATAAATGCAGGAAGAGAACCCGAATTCGGGGTTAATTTCCCAAGGAAGGGATGCCTCTCATTTGAGGGTTCCAGGGGAGATTAATAACCTTGGGGTCTCTCAATGCTCAGAAGAGATGGGCTTTGAGTAATCCTTTGTGGCTCCATCACCCAGGGGAAGTGGGGTGACAAATCCATGGGGGGGCAAAGCAACAAAGGTGAAAACCATTTTTCAAGTTGTTGAATTTAAAATAACTGAATTTACTATCTCATAGTTGCTTTTCAAAAGGGACTTTAGTGGTTTGC